AAACATTGATGAGAGAAAATCATCGATCAGCTGCCTCTTGCACACCCCCTACTGGGGATGTGCCCTCAACAAGGTACATGCCCTTGACCGGAATCGAACCTGGGAACTTTCAGTCCGCAGGTCGATGCTCTATCCACTGAGCCAAACCGGTTTTGGCAGTATTTCTCTTATTTTAAAGCCTTAATTTTGTTGTGTTTATTTTAATTCCTCTTTTAGTCTTTTAAATTATTGATAGTAATTTTTTGTTAACCTACCCTATTATTTTCTCCTTCAATCAGTTATATCCCTAATGTTAACACTTTATTACACTTTAATTGTCTTCTAGTCGTTATTATATTGACTCTACATATTTCTTAAAACGTAGCCTTTTCCTTACTCATGATTATTCCTTCACCAACAATAGGCAATGCCAGATAATTTTACCCAAACTTTATCAGTAGCTCAACTCAGATTGAAATTCAATTGTAAGGGATAATTCTCATAAAAGATCACTGAAGATATAGTCTTAAGTATCTATCTGTTCTTCTAAGTGGTCTAAATATTGTCATTTGATCAAGCCAGACTCTTGGAGACCTGTACAGTTGGACCACACAGTATTGGTGTCCATCACTGTAATCCGGGGCTTCTCAACAGCAGCACTATTCACATTTTGGATCAAACAGTTCTTTGTTGTGGGGTGCTGCCTTGTGCGTGTAGGGTGTGCACTATCCCTGGCCTGCTAGATGCCAGCAGCATAGCACCTTCCCCCAACTGTGACAATCAAAAATGTCTAAAGATGTTGTCACGCATCCCCTTAAGAGCAAAACTGTCTCCAGTTGAGAAGCCCTTTAAACTGAACTGGACCTTCGGGTATTGAAATCAACTTACATTGAAGGATCCGTTAAAAACAAATAAATAGCCATATGAAGGAATGGTATTGAGGATCATCTACTGCATTACTCACTATTTCCCATTATGAGGGTCCATAGGAGAAATTTATCTCAGACATCAGTACAAACAGAATGTTACTTTCTTCTGGACAATGTGAATCCTTACCTAATCATATTTTCTTTTTTTGGCCACTGAAAAAGCTCAAAAGCAAATTTAGAGCCCATCTTCGGTAACAGTGTAGAATCCACAGCACGTATTTATATGTACTAAATCTCCCAAATATATGTTTGATTCATTCTTTTTACCATGAACTTATTTTCATCTTACTATAATACATATATTTCTGCATGTGAACACAAACCTGCTTTAGAATAAGAATATAAATAAATAAAATAGGTATTAAACTCTTATATAACTCTCCAGCAGATAACCCCCTTCAGCCTCGCTTTATCACATTCCTCCAAATCTCCTTGTGTTAAACCTGAAACTTTTAGTGATCCATTGCACACTTTTACATCTGTTCTCTCCAGTCAAGCCATACAACTAAATCCATTCACTCTAGAGAGCTCTGTTAGATATATATAAGCATCTGTGTAAAAGTTTTATAACTATGTCCTCTTACATTTATTGGAAGGATATTTCTCCCAATGAAGACCAGCACATGACAGGCATGAAATTCTTAAGTGTCCAGAAGATTGTCCAGGCATCAGTACATTATCCTGCAGGACGATGGGAAGATAGAAAACCCATGTCCCTTTTCTCTTGCTGATGCTGGCTGAGCAAATTTCCCCTTTTCCCACTAACGCCCACTTCTAATCCATGCCAAGTAACATTTGGAACTCATCTTGAGCCCTGTTACATGACATATAGTGACACAGGAGTGGCGCATCTTGCACAACAGTGACAACTATGAAGGGTCCCACCTGCCCTACACTCTCAGATTACTTTTGAAAGTGCTGAAAGAAACGATTTCCTCTCATCTTACCCTTAATATAACCATTCCTAGATTTTAAATCTGATATCAATATTACAAAGGTTCATCAACAGGTGAGTGGATAAACAATTTGTGGTATATCCACACAAGGGAAAACTACTCAGCAATAAAAGATAATATTATTTGTACCTATACATAGAGTGAAATGAATCTCAACAATATTATGCCAAGTAAAAGGCACAAAAGAGTACCAATTGTATTATTCTATACACAAAAATTTCTAGAAGGGGCAAACTAATCTACAGTGACAGAAAGCAGATTAAGGATTGTCTAGAGATAGCTGAGTGCTGACAGCAAAGGGGCCCAAGACAACTTTATGGAAAGATGGAAAAGTTCTTTTTGATACATTATCTTGATAGGAATGGTGATTTCATAATTTATGCATTATCAAAATACTATACACTTAAAATAGGTGCAAATGTATCCTTACTAAAAATGTATAACTTCAAAGTAATTATGAGAAAACATCAGACAAATCCAAATTGAAGAACATCCTACAAAATACCTGACCAGTACTCTGCAAAAGTATCAAGGTCATGACATATCGGAAAGATGAGGCTCAGGGGAGTCTAAAGGGACATGACAAGTGAATTCAACACAAATCTTGGAACAGAATAGGACACTAGTAGAAAACTGGTAAAAATCCAAATAAAGTCTGTAATTTATCACACCAATGCCAATTTCTTAGTTTTTGTTAATTATACCATGGTTATATAAATTTTTAACATTAGAGGAAGTTATACATCAAAACTCGCTATACTATGGCAACATTTTTTAAAGTCTAAAGTAAAGTTTTTAAAATGAAGCATTTTATTGAGCATAAATTTTAACTTATTAAAGTTCATATAACATTAAAATAAAAGTAGCCGAAGCTGGTTTGGCTCAGTGGTAGAGCGTCGGTCTGCAGACTGAAAGGTCCCAGGTTCGATTCTGGTCAAGGGCATGTACATTGGTTGTGGGCACATCCCCAGTAGGGGGTGTGCAAGAGGCAGCTAGATGATATTTCTCTCTCATTGACATTTCTAACTCTCTATCTCTCTCCCTTCCTCTCTGTAAAAAATCAAAAAAATATATTAAAAAAAAAAAAGTAAATGGGAGTTATTAAGAAATAATCCTATCCCCAGCCTGATTCTCCTTTAAAGCTCATCTACATTAATAAAAGGGAAACATGCAAATTAACCATCACTCTGCCATGACAAGCCACGCCCACCAGCCAATCAGGAGTGAATATACAAAATAACCCAACCAAGCTGGTGACTGGCCACGGAGCTGGAACAAGCAGGAGGCTTGAGTTGCCCCGGCATTGGAGGAAGCCAAGCTACTCATCCGCCCGGGCTGGCTCTGGCCTTTGCTCAAGGCTACAGTTTCAATTATAGAAGATAAATAAATCCCAACAGAAATGGCAATGGCTATGGAGCTGGAGTAAGCAGGAGGCTTGGGTTGCTTCCTGTGATGGAGGAAGCCAACTTCCCACCTGCCATGGCCAGCCCTGGCCTCCACTCAAGGATACAAAGTTTCAATTATAGAAGATAAATTCTAGATACTTGCTTCCAGCCGGCCCTGGCCTCTGCTCAAGGAGGCGCTGAAAAAAAAAAAAAAAAGGAAAAAGAAAAAGAGGAGCTGGGACCTTGGGTCACCAGGGGGTGATCAGGCCAGGATGGGACAGCAGGGGCTGTTGGGGGTAAGCAGACCAGCAGGGATGCCAGCTGGAGTGAGCATGCCGTCAGTGGGGGTGATCAGGACAGCGGGGAGTTGGGGGGCAGTTTGGAGAGAGCAGGCCAGCAGAAAGGGAAGGTAGGGGTGAGCAGGCCAGTGGGGGGGGGGGACAGTTGGGGTGATCAGGCTGGAGGGGAGGCATTTGGGGGTGAACAGTCAGCAGGCAGAGTGGTTAGGGATAATCAGGCAGGCAGGCAGGTGAGCGGCTGGAGCCAGAAGTCCCAGATTGTGAGAGGGATGTCCAACTACCAGTTTAGGCCCAATCCCTATAAACCAGCAATAGGACATCCTTCGAGGAATCCCAGATTGGAGAGGGTGCAGGCCAGGCTGAGGAACAACCTCTCCTCCCCACCCCCGTTCACGAATTTCATGCTCTGGGCCACTAGTTAAATATAATATTTAAATCCTACAAAATACTCTGCTCTTCAGTATTTGAGTCAATAAATCTAGTAAACATGCAGTATTTCTTACCTAAAAGAACCACTAAGTTAAAGATTACTAAATGAACAACAATCTCAGAATTACTTTCCTCAGAATCATATGACATATTCCTCCCCCAAATACTAATATACTAGAAGCTCAGGGCACAAAATCATGTGGCCCCATAACCCTTGTAGCCTCACCATGCTTGCAGCCCCATCCACCCATGCTGGTCTTTGGTTGTTATGGCGTTAGAAATACAGGCCTTTTATAATATAGATAATTAACAATAAAATCATTACTTGTTCAAATTATGATGAGATAATGGTTCATAAAACTTTGAAATCTACAGGAAAAATAATTTCTATGACTCTCACATCTAAGAATTGTTATATATTTGAATTCCAAAAACTGTATCATCTTATATAATACTAGAGGCCCGGTGCACAAAATTCATGCACAGGGTGGGAGTGTGTCCCTCAGCCCAGCCTGCACCCTCCTCTCCAATCTGGGACCCTCGAGGGATGTTCCCACCAGGATTTCCTTCTCACAATCCAGGACTGCTGGCCTCCAATTGCTCACCTGCCTGCCTTCCTGATTTCCCCTAATCACTTCTGCCTGCCAGCCTGATTACCCCCTAACCACTTCCATGCCAGCCTGATTGATGTCTATCTACTATCCTGCCAACCTGTTTGCCCCCAACGTCCCTCCTCTGCCGGCCTGGGTACCCTTAACTGCCCTCCCCTACAGGGTTGATTGCCTCCAACTGCCCTTCCTTGCAGGCCTGGTCCCTCTCAACTGCCCTCCCTTGCTTGCCATCTTGTGCTGGCCATCTTGTGTACACAGGGGGCAGGATCTTTGACCACATGGGGGTAGCCATCTTGTATGTTGGAGTGATGGTCAATATGCATATTACTCTTTTATTAGATAGGATTACTTAAAGACAGAAAGAAATGAGTAGAAAAACATTCAGAGAAAAATTTAAACTTTTATAGCATACCTCCTCTGTTGCCATTTTCTTCATCCTACAAAATAAAACATATATATCCATATATGAAACCATATTTATAAACTCTAGTGAAATCACAGCAAGGCTCAATCCAATTTAAACTGCCCTCCCCAAAATGTGCCCATTACAATCTCATTAACAGTGCCTTTTGCCAGAAGACTGGAGCCTTCATAAACAGAGACAGGAAGACTATGGTGAAGCCAATTAGGAGGGAAGACATCAGGAATTCAGTTTTTGATAATGAGTATGGAGATTCCCACAGTGCAGGTGTCAAAGTAGACAGCTGGATAGATGAACCTAGAACTCGGGAGAGAGGGCCAGGCTGGCCATCACTTACTGTGCTACATACTCTAATAAAATGTGCCTTTTGGGGCTATTACAGGGGACAGAACTGTCTGTATAAATTGAGTAGCTCCAAAATGCTAATTATTTAATTTCTTCTATTCAATATTGAGACTTGGTTTTATTCATTACTTCCAGGCTGTCCTGCTGCTATGTATCCACCTTTAGCTAGGAAATCAGAAAAGCAACTCTGCAAAACTAGTATAAAAGTACATTTATTCAAATATTTGTTGAAAAGCTATCATATGAAAGCTACAATCAACTGTAGGAAAAAAAAAAGTGAAGGACCGATAATTTATTTTATAACGTTTTGCCTTTATTTGGTTGTCTAAATGTACAGGGTGAGGTAAAAGTAGGTTCACAGTTGTGAGTATGCAATACACAAAGTTTATTCTTGTATTATTATTTTCCTACTTTTGCTCCACCCTCTGTGTGTGTGTGTGTGTGTGTGTGTGTGTGTGTGTGTGTATTTATTTATTTATTTATTTATTTATGGTTATAAGCTTCATTCTGAGACTGGTAAGCTTGTCAGCTAAGTAACATAATAAAGATAATGTATTAATTACATATTTTCTAAAAGCTATAATAGGAGTTTTAAAAAAAATACCTTTGAAGTGAGTGGATAAATTTTCATAATTAAAAAGGAAAAGATTTCAATATGTATTTTCCATCAGAGACATTCATGTTAGCAAGTTAAAATCCTAGGACCAGGACTTACTCATAATGTGACTCACTTCAGTTTCCTGATGTTATGTAGGCTAATAACGAAGTGAGATAATGCTCATAATGAATAATAAAGAACACCCAGCAAGTACCCAGTGTGTCGGCTGTGTTATAACTATCTCATGTTGCCCCTTATGAGACCATGCTACTATCCTACACTGAAGCATGGTAATGTAATTGACCCTGTATGGAGGTATGTTTCCAGATTCTGACTTGCCATTATATTACATATCTGAAAGACATGTATTATTCTAATCCCAGTAACTTTTTGTAACTGCCAGAACATTTTAACCAAGTATTGCCTCTGCATTCTCTGACCAGAAAACTCACCACCTTTCTAGATAGTAGACAAACAGCTAGTATTAGAAAAAAAATAGAATAATTTGGAATTAGAAGTCCTAGCAAAATAGATTTGGAGTTAATAATCAGTATAACCTTTCAGAGATTAAAATATCTGTTCAAAAGAAAGAAAACTATCTGAAAGAATATAATAAAAATGAAAATATAGCATTTCTAAGCTAGAAAGAAGGTGGGAAGCAGTATGAGAAGATAAGAAGGAAATGGCAATAGCTTTGCTTTTTGTTTCAAGTGACTTTAACTACATCTCTTACCTTATATGAAAATTGAATTGCAGACTCTGGGGGATAAACAATGAAATGCCTTAATGTAAAACCAAAGCCTTGAGATGTTCTTTTCAACATAACTGTTTTGGGACCTGGCCAGGAGAATGCTTCGTCTTCAGATGGTGATACTGTTTCACTTTGTTCCCTTCCATCTTTATTTTTTGACACCTAAAATGGAAAGATATTAAAATGTTAATTACCAACACAATATACTTCCTCATTTAGAAAAAATATATATGAAAAATATAATACCTAAGTGCAGATATGATCTTACTGGAGAAAAAATTCTAATGCATGAACTATATGTATTAGCACAAATCACACAGTTCATCAAAATCCAAATGATTTTTATAAAGAGATGCTATGAAAAGTTAATCAGAAGTCAGACAGAATTCTTGGAAATCAGAAATTTAAGAGCAAAATTTAAATTTAATAGAAGAAATGAAAGATAACACCACGAAACTCATTAGCACAGTAAGGACTAAGAACAGAAACTGAAAGAAGAGACATGAACCTCACACCTCGTAGGATTACTAAAGCTGTTATCAACAAAGGATATTAGAAAATAATAGATACGGCCTTCAGGTTCTGAGCATAGTCAGTATCTACACAAATGTCCTTTCACTAGATTGGCCTTATAATTCCTTGATCTCTTCTCTTCCACTCTTGGCTTTTATCTGGCTACTGGTGACGTGCACGAAATTCATGCACATGAAAAGGGAATTAATTAGAGGAAATATTTTAATATTGCTATTTGCCATTTCTCTATAATAGAAGTGTCAGAGATGAAAGAAAATTAGTAAAATGTATACGAAAATCTCCCTCCTGTCAGTAGTCAGGGGTGTGCCACGGAACCCAGAGTCAAGTCCCAGCTGGCCTGGCACCAGGCAGCTTTGGGTCCCTGCTGATCAGTTGTTATGGCATGATGGCATGACAACCATTGGCATATTAGACTGTTATTAGATGACTGAAAACCATTCACAACTTTAAATCAAAGTTCCATTCTTGATTCCCTCACAATTCTTCAATCTGAGCTGACCCTACCACTGTTTCCCTGTCTCTTACCACCCCATGTACTCACTTTGCTCTTAAACCAGCTTCAATTCACTCCTTTGCCTTTCTCTGACTTGCTCAAAGTCACCTAACCTTAGGTAAATCAATAACGCCTACTCTGGGCCTGTACCTATGAAGTTGAACACAAATGAAAAATAAACAAAAACCAGGCTATTTTCACTCTAAGTTCATAACCACTAACCTCAAGAGAGTTTTTTGTTTTTTTAAAATCCTCACCCAAATATATGTTTCTATTGACTTTAGGGATAGAAGGAAGGAGTGTGAGAAGAAGGAGGAAGGAAGGGAGGGAGAGAGAGAGAAATACTTATGGGTTGCCTTCTGTACACTCCCAAACTGAGGATTAAACCCACAACCTAGGTATGTGTTTTGACCAGTAATCAAACCTGAACCTTTTATAGGACGCTCCAACCAACTGAGCAAGGCAAGAGAGTCTTTACTGTTGTCTGTCAATGATAATTCTCTCTAGTCCATTCATCTTCGATAACTGATTCATCCCTTCTTCCCTGTTCTCACTTGTAGTTGACAATCCTGCTTTCTATTATAATGAAAAAAAAAACAAACACAAAAAACAAAAAAAACCCACTACCATTAAGACAACAACCTGCCTAGCTGGGTGGCTCAGTTGCGGGTTCCATTCCTGGTCAGGGCACATATCTAGGTTGCAGGTTGGGTCCCCGGTCTAGATGCAACTAACTGATGTTTCTTTTTCTCTCTCTCAAAAGTAAATTAAAACAAACAAACAAAACAAAAAAATACATATCCTAGGTGAGGATTAAAAATAATGATAATCCTCCTGTATAATAAAAGGCTAATATGCAAATTATCCTCTAGGGAGTTTGACCTCTCACTATGACATGTGCTGACCACCAGGGGGTGGCATGGAATGAAGGAAGGTCCCAGCTGGCAGCCGGAAGGCCCTGATCGGCCCTGACTGCTGGCCCGGCCTAAGGACCTTACTCATGCACTAATTTCAAACATCGAGCCTCTAGTAATAATCTATATATATAAAGAGCCAGAGTCCATAACAACCAAGGCTTGACTGAACACTGAAAGTCAGTGTGGGTTGCTATGGCGATCCAGCACTGACTGCAGTTTTCTGATGGTCTTAGGCTCTACAGCAGTGGTTCAGAACTGCTAGCAGGGTTGCCTAAGAACATTGGAAAACACAGATGTTTACATCACGATTCATAACAGTAGTAAAATTACAGTTATGAGTAGCAATGAAAATAATTTTATGGTTGGGGGTCACCACAATATGAGGAACTGTATTAAAGGGTCGTGACGTTAGAAAGGTTGAGAACCACTGCCCTTGAAGAAAGAAGGAAGGGTAATACTTCTTTCTACATAAGAAGAGAAGATGAAAAGAAAAAACACACGTGTGCCTTCTTCACTCCTTCCACTTACCCACAGAGCCTTTAGATCTACTGGATTTCTAACAAGAGCAAACTGCAGGCACCCGCTGCAGTTCCAGATTTCTTTACTTGAGAAGAGACCTTAGCATATACTCCCTACATGGGTCTCACCTCCCCACCCTGAGCACCAATCCATGCTAATCAGCATCAGGATGCAAGAAGCCAAGAAGTGACTAGAATAACAGCAGTTAAATTCTTGTGGACTAAGAACTGACATTTGATTCCCTTAAAAATCTTCATAACAAGGTCACTTGATTGAATAATAACTCAAGGTTAGAGAAACCAAAATAAAGGATAAAACCTAACTCCATAATAACTAGATAAAATAACTAGACAAAGCAACGTAAAACAGGAGTTCATAAGGGGAAAACACTAATCTTATAACAATAAAAGTAATAAAAACCTCACAGATAGAATGCAAACTGACAATGTTCCAAAAGCTGATTATAATGAAACTTCCGAAACTATAAATTTACTACACTCAAATATACGATGGGTGAATTATATGGTATATAAATTACACTTCAGTTAAGATGTTTAAAAAACAAACTCATAGGTAAAAAGTACAAACTCTAAATATTAGCCAGAGGTGAAAGACACAGGCTGTCAAAAAGTAAACATGAGTTGGGGGGAAATGCCTATATACACATAAATATACAGCCTCTAAGCTATCATTTATAATTAGTTGTACTTTTAAGTTGAATGCAAATAGTAGATTCCTAGTATATTCCAGGAATCATTCATGAGGAAGCATAAGAAGGTATATTGATTCCAACATATACTAAGATTATGAGCACTACTCCTATGGATTCTTTGGAAATATCTTGTTATATAATATTTATTACAAAATATTAGTAGTACCAGTTGCTGAAAGAAAGTAAGGTTTTCTTCCTTATTTTAGGGCCAGATTTTATCATGGTGATGCAACACCTTTTAAGTGTTATTTCCTGAGACAACACCATGCAGGATCTGAATGTGTGAGCCCTTAGGGACCTTTTTCTTTTAAATAGTTAAATTGCTGACTATCATAGTTATGTTGTCATCTGGCTCGATGTTTTTTCCTTTATTACCTGGGGAGATTGTATGCACAGTGGGCAGAGCATGGACTCTGGAGCTAAACTACGTGGGTCTGGATCTTTCATTCACCAGCTATGGACCTTGGGCAAGTTCCCTAACATCTGTACCTCAGCTCCTCATCGTTACTACGAGGATGATAATTATAGTTCATACTTCATATGTTTCCTATAAAGATTAAATGAATTAAAGTTTGTGAAGTATTTAAAATAGTATATCACACATAGTAAGCACTACTTAAAAATTAATTAAAAAAAACACAGAGGTAAAACACACACACACAGGTCAACAATACATAAAGGCTTATTTCAAAAATAAATTATATGGACAGATACATGCAAAAAAAAAATGAAACTAGATCACCAACTTACACCATGCACAAAAATAAATACAAAATGGATATAGGACTTAAACATAAGACGGGAAACCATAAAAATACTAGGGGAATCCATAGGCAGCAAAATCTCAGACATATGCCAAAAGAACTTCTTCACTGATACTGCCCCCTAGGGCAATGGAAGCTGAAGAGAAAATCAACAAATGGGACTACATCAAAATAAAAAGCTTTTTTACAGCAAAAGAATCATCAACAAAACAACAAGAAAGCCCACTGTATGGAAGAACATATTTGCAAATGTTATCACTGATAATGGTTTAATCTCCAACATCTACAGGCAGCTAATACAACTTAATAAAAGGAAGATAAACGATCCAATTAAAAAAAAAAAGGGACAATGGATCTAAATAGAATCTTCTCAAAAGAAGACAGAAGAAGGCCAAGAGACACATGAAAACATGCTCAAAGTCACTAATTATCCAAGAGATGCAAATCAAAACAACAATGTGGTACTATCTCACAGCTGTCAGAATGGCCAACATCAACAAATCAACAAATGAGAATTGTTGGCGAGGATGTGGAGAAAAAGGAACCCTGGTGCATTGCTAGTGGGAATGCAGACTGGTGCAACCACTGTGGAGAACAGTGTGGAGTTTCCTTAAAAAACTAAAAACAGAACTCCCATTCGACCCAGTTATCCCACTCCTAGGAATATATCCTAAGAAACTAGAAACACCAATCAAAAAAAGGATACATGCACCCCTATGTTCATAGCAGCACAATTTACAATAGCTAAGATTTGGAAACAGCCTAGGTACCTGTCAGCAGATGACTGGATCCGAAACTATGGTACAGCTACACAATGGAATACTATGCTGTCATAAAAAAGAAGGAATTCTTACCATTTGCAGCAACCTGGATGGAACTGGAGAACATTATGCTAAGTGAAATAAGCCAGTCAATGAAAGAAAAATACCACATGATTTCACTCATTTATGGATAATAAAGAACAATATAAACTGATGAACACAAAGATAGATACAGAAACAGTAAAGCATCAAACAGGCTGTCAAATTACAGCGGGAAGGTTAGGGAGAGGCGGGAGAGATAAGAAATCAACTGAAGGACTTGTATACATGCATATAAGCATAACCAATAGATGCAAAATTTGGGGGGGGGGATGTGTGGGAATATATGGGAGTGGAGTGGGAGAGGGAGGCAATGGTAAAATATGTGCACATATAATATCTTAATAAAAAAATGAAAAAAAT